CAGCAGGACTATTATTTTCCTTTAATGATTATCGGAAAAACTTGGGATGGAAAGTGTATCAAGAGTAACTTGAGTCCTGTTGATTTGAACACGATCACCAACAGCTCCACGCCTTGCCATAGCGCCTGCCGAGAGAACTCTACAGTGCTGGATTTGCAATTTAGGCGTGGGACAGCGCAAGACGGAAAAGATACAAAACCACATCACTGAGGTAAGCTGGCCGAGGTCACAAATTCTTAATATTACGACTCTCTCCTGGACGTGCGAAGACTGAAATAAAGATGGTTTAAACAATGGCAGAGCCTTATCGGAGTCGAATGCTATTAGCAGAAAAACTTCAAGTTCAAGGTATGGTCAATTTAAGCAAGTTGTTTCAGTTACCGAACTACTTTATTAACGCATCAAGAAACAATTTCTACTAGAAGTCAGATTGCTATTCTTCATCCTTCAAAAAGCACACCTAAAGCAGCATTTGAGACTCCGCATGTTCTGAAGACCTCAAACGAAAACAGCGTTAATCATACTGGCGGTGACTTACGGAAATGACAAGTGACTCAAGATTTTCAGAGTTTGCAAGATCAGCATTTTGTTCAGCTAAGGCCATTTGGAGGTGCTGCAAAACTGTCTACCTAGAAATCAAAACTCTCAATCAACACTTACTAGTGAAAATCCCTAATCCCTGCCGTGGAGGACAAACTGCTTGTGCCCTATTTCTGAAACGCTATAAGGTGCTAGAAAGATAAGGTGAATTCTTGAGAGTAAATTCAGCATCAGAAATAATACTAAGAAAAATATTTGAAAAATTGTCTAAGAAAAAATCTCTAATGAAGATTACAGAACATATTATTATAACAAACAGAAAGAAGACAGTTTGTTAAACGCTTACAACTATTCCAGCTACAGTCGGGAAACCAGTGTTACGTTGGACACATCTATATGGCAACGTCTCCGTTTCCCAGTAATGTCACAGAGCAAAGCAAAATCACTGGTTACTTTAAAATTCCATTCTTTATGGGAAATGTGGGCTGCCCAGCACAGAAGCACCCAAAGCGAGGGTGAAATGCTGAAGAACTGCATTGAAAACTACAAGTGCAAGACGATTATGTACTTAAACCAATGAAGCAATTCTGCTTAGAGCAGTTCGCTGTACTACTCCCCTCCTTCAGACACAGGAGCTCAGGAACGCAATCCAGGCACAGTGAATCCCTCTCGGTGCAAGCCAGTAGTTATTGCGGTAGTTCTGGCCCATTGCCATCTTATCACAGAGTTTCAAGGATTCTCTACGCCGCGCTTACGCCAAACAGCACGACGACCCGGCGCTTTTAGCGGCTGGGGCAAGAGGACAGCAGGTCTCATCACGGAATTCCCAAAACGATGGTAGAGAGTACGGGAACAGCCGGGCCAGGAGGCAGATCGCAGCGTGCTACTGCCTATGAAAGAGGAACGATGAACTAGCGACGCAGACTGCTCGTAGACGGAAACCCTGCATAATGCTGTAACAAGTCTCACCACTATAGCAAACAGGTGGGGTTTTTTTCAATAGTTTGAAGAAAAGCAAAAATTTCCTCAATCATAAGCAACGCTCGCATTTAAAAAGCATGCGCTACTGCTTTTGCTATACACGTCTGCACAAAAACTCTCTTGCTACCAGTTGTGACTTCTAGGTGCTATGTTAATAACAACGGAAAAAACCTTGACCGGAATATAAAGGAAGCAACAGAACATAACTGGAAGTGCCTTTAAGAAGAGCTAAACTACCCACATTTCCAAATATTGCATGGATCTAAAACTACGTCCATGTTTAAGAAGATAGTTATACTTGTGCACTCAAATACTGTGCTAACGAGATGTCTTCAGAGAGCGTGGTATCAGCAGCGTGAAGGTATTTACTTCTCTCTTTGTCAAGGTCACTAAACCACCAGCAGCCTGCCCAGCATCCCCCGCTCACGGCACGTTCCGTACACACAGCACCGTTCCCACACCCAACAAGCTTCTCAACTTCAACACTCCGATGAAGCGCGTGTGGTTTGTAAAACAGTTTGAATCAACAGTTTCTCACAACACTACAGGCCCCTTCCAAACGCGTAGAGAGATATGTAAAATTAGAATTAGTTCCCAACTACACCACGGTACTTCCCAAAACAAGGATAAAGTTTTCCACTTCAAGCAGCAAAACAAGCTACAGGAAGCAGGGAGGAACAGCGGCAGATTCCACTCACAGAAGGAGCAACATGACGTGGCTCATGCATTTGGTTTTAGATTAATATTTTTGGGGGGAATAATTTTATACCAGGACACTTTTTCCAAGAACTACAAACACAGAGTCCCCTTTCTTCATTTCTGTCTCTACAAAATCTCCAAAAATCTGGAAGACAACACTAAGAAGGAAATTCTTAATTAATAAATTCTTTATTTAATTCTTAAATTCAGCCAATAAACTGTCCCGAATAAGAAACCTTTTGAGCTCAAAGTAGGCACATGCTCAAGTTCCACTGCAGTACTCACACATAAACTTACATTGTTTGGTTTGGTCAGCTGTGGTTTTTGGGTGAGATCTTTTGTTTTTACGAAGTAGGAGCTTTTTTCTTGCCCTTAATTGCTACATCTGGCTAACGAGCAAGGCCATGCATGAACACTTCGTCGAGCGCTTCTGCAGCCAATTCCCTCCCGTGCAGGCCACAATCTAGGACGAACAGTCCATTACTGTGCAGAAGCAGGTACACCGGCTTTTTGAGAAAGACTCTTAAACCCCCACATTCTGAGCTTCTCAGTGCCGCTTCCTTGATTGTTAAAAATTACTTTTCCAGCTAGCGTTATGTAACTGAAAGCAACATATGTGTTTTTTCCTAGTGTATTAGCACTTTATATATTCTAACGCTTAAAACAGTCAGATACGCATATCTGGCATATAAGTTCAAGCTACTTACAAGTTTGCTTTTTGTATACACTGTCAGCAACTGTACTACAGCCTTTGTTTGCTTAAATTAATCACAGATTCCAAGATACTCAGAAAATATTTCATTTTGGTCTACAGCAGCAAGTCTTCTCACGTCCTTCCTGCAAATTTCTGAGCAGCACAGTGATCCAATTTATAACAGAAATGGAAGGTACCCACTGACCTTCAGGAGCAAAGAAAAATATTTTTGAGCCTTTGAAAATGGTCTGCGGATATCGGGACGGTGCTCCCTGAGGATGCGTGGCAGGGGGACCAGTCAAGGAGTCAGTACGCAGTCTGCTAGGAAAGCTGGATAATGTAGACCAGAACGTAAACACAAAAGGTACCTCAGTCATATAGTTATCAGCTGAGACTCATACACTAGTTCCTCAAACCGTACCTTTTTTGCTCTGCTTTTCAAAGAAATAACTTCCCAGAACATTCAAGTACACACACCATTTTTATTAACATTTGCATAATATGTGAATGCAATCACAGCTCTTCACTACCCACGACTTCTAAAAATAACTGCACGAATTTTTCTTTGCCAAGTATTCAGCTTGGCAATCCATTTCGAATATCGTCCCGACACATAGATACCTTGACTCAGTATCCTCCAGTGCTCACACATGCACTTCTACTTAATCATTTAGAGTTAAGAAGATTACTCACACTAGTAAAAAA